TTTCTGGATTTATGGATTCCATAGGAAAAGGAATTTCTGGATTTTTGGACTCCATGGGAACCTCGGGCGCTCGGCACTTCTACAATCCATTATCCATAACCTTTAGTCGGGGCTCATCTCAGCTTCCCAGTCTTATCCACAGATATCCAGGCAAGGTTTAGGTTGGCCTGCAAGTTCCACAACAAAACAGCGGCCGTAAGTCAGCGCCAACAGGACTCCAAAACCCCGCGCCCCAAAAAGACCGCGGAGCGCACCTACCCCCGAACCCAGGGAATCCCCGCGGGCCCAGCAGGTTCCTGATGTCCAGCAGGGCCGTGGAGCCCACCAGGGTGTGCTGGGGGAAGGTGGTGAGGGTGGGCCCGGGGTAGATGATGGAGTAGGGCGGCAGGTCGGGCTCCACGATGTCCACCACGGTGTCGGGGTATTTGATGACGCAGGTGTCGCTGCGGGTCACGGCGAAGGGCTCCGGGCACGCCAGGCCCTGGGGGAGGCAGCACTCGTGGAAGGGTGACATGGGCAAGGGAAAGGCTGGAAATGAGTAGGGAAAGAGGGAAAATCAGAAAGAAAAACAACAAAAAAAAAACATCCCAGGAGAGAGGGAAACGCGTGGTAAATATCGCGAGGTTTTGGGGATTTTCGGGAAATTGGGGATTGCAAAGAGCTCAGATGGGAGTGGGATTTGTGCAGTTGAGTTTTCCAACCAGGAGCTCTTTTCCTTCCTCGTTATTTTTCTTCCTGAACTTCCTGTTTTTCGATGTAATGATGTTTTCCAAACCATCACCGTTTTAACCCCCCCAAAATTTAATCCTTTTGCTTCTCCTCCCAAGATTTCCGCCGTGCCCATCCCACTCCTATTGCCAACGAAAAACCACAACTCCCAACTGAACCCCACGATTCAAACTCGGCTTTTAATCCTCTTTTAAATCCCAAATGTGGAGGCTGGAGCTCCTCCCAGCAGCTTCCAGGTGGAGCAGTGAGATCCAGGCTGGAGATCCACCCATTTTTTTATGGGTCTCATTAGGGACCAGGTGGATGTTTGAAATCCCAGAGCACTTTAAACCCAGCCTGGTATGGAGGGCAGAATTTTCCTGGGCATTTTTTTAATTACAGATTGAAGACCGTGCTTGCCCTGGGTTGTGCCCACACGGATTGGGCAAGGAAAACACGAGGGAAGGAGGAATAATTTTTTATCTCTGTGATTCTGGGAGAAATTAAAGGAGAAAAAAGGGGGAATTGAAGTGATTTCCTAAATAAGTCCCCACTTCACCCCAGGAATTTGTCAGGGAGACAAAATCCAGGGGGGATTTGTCCACCTGAACATCCCATTTTAACCTTCCCAGTCCTCAGAGAATTCTGTTTTTGTTTTTTTTTTTTTTTTTTCCCAGTTGATTCAAGTCCAATTTCTTTAGACTTGAAGGTGAGGAAAAGACAAGCCCGGAGTATTTTTCCAGGTGAAAAGCTGGATCTGGAATGGCCGATTTTGGCTTTGGGAAAAGAAGGTTGGTCTGAGGGTTGGGATCTTCGAGTGATTCCACACAATTTGGGAAAGGCCATCCCAGAACTCCTGAAAGGAGGTGGAAAAGGAGCACTTGGATGTTCCTTCTACGTTTGGAATTCAAAACCCTGAACATATTTTAACCCAAGCCAGCAATAAAGTGGATTTTGAGTAAGAAAAATCTGTGTTCTGCAGGATTGGGAAAATATTTAGGATGAGCTCGCCAACTTAAAAGACACAGGAGCCTCCTGGAAGACAGCTGAGGGTGAGAACATCATAGAAATTAAAATTTAAATTATAATTTCTTTAATGACACCGAGTCTTTCGAATATGAGAAGAGCACCGTGGAATTATTGAGACCCTTCAGGGACTTTTCTGTGCCCTCCCTGGTTTCCAGGAGCTGAAGTGTAAAACTTCAATTAATTCAGAAATAAAGGACAACAGAAAGGCTTTTTCTGGAAAAACACCCCCTTGTCCTTTCACGAGCTCACCCTCTCATTTGATAGTCAGATAGCAATAATAATAATAATAATAATACTAATAAATAATTGATTTAAAACTCAATAATTGATTCAAAATTGACTTACCCGGATCATCCAAGGAGGAGAGTAAAAGAAAAGTGATTAGGGAAGCTTCTACGTAGCAAATGCTTTTATACACGTCCCCAGAGCGCCTGGAGGATGTGACACCCTCTTTGCATGAAGTCTTAATTAGTTGCAAAACAAACTTTGCTGCCTGCATAACTTCTGCGAGTAATGAAACTGTTTTGCTCCCTGTTTGTGTTTGTTCCCTCCCGGAGCTTCCCAGAACGTGCTACACCCTCCGGGCAGGATTCACTTTGCCTTTTCAAGGGCCAAAAAAAGGGCTCGATCTGCTGCTAATTAACCACGTTTCAGTTATTTCGGGGCCTGATCAAGGGTTATTTTATTAGCATTGAGTTTTCCCTCTCGGGTTCTGGGAAAAGGAGCTGGAGCGGCATCATCTCCTAGCAGGGATCAGAATTATTTTTATTATTTCCCAGCGCTGACGGGATTTTTTTTTTTTTTTTTTTAATTCCAAAAAACACTCCCAGGGGGCATGAATTGTATCCCTACAAAACATCCAGGGGCAAGGAGCAAAAATGAATTCACAATTCCTCAACTTCTCAATAAATCCCGCGGATTCTCAAGAAATCTTTAATTTCAATGAACACCTCCGAACGGGGCTGGCAAAAAAAAAAAAAAAAAAAAAAAAAAAAGCCCGGCCTTACAAATCCTGGGATGGGGTTCAAGTGGAGCAGGTGGATTTTGCTCCTGGGCTCTGCAGGTTTTGACCCCGGTGCAATTAAAGGCAAATCCCAAATCCCACCCACGACTCCTGGCTCCTGACTCAAGGTGAAGTCACCGAACCTCACGCGAGCTTGGTTTTGTTTTTTTGTTTTTTTGGTTTTTTGGTTTTTTTCTCCCCCCCCACCTCATTCTTCCCCCCAGTTTTTGGGTCGGAAAGGAAAAAAAAATTGTGGGAAAGGGGAGGTTGGAAGCATCCAGGTTTTCTTGGGACAGAATGAAGGGGAGGAAAAAGTAGAGAAGAAGTTGTTGTGTCCAGGTGAAAACTTAATTTAACACAAATCAAAGATGTGAGTTTAATGCAAAACCATCAAAATATTGGAGAAAATGGGGGTGGGTAGTTTATCAACATTTTTGAGCGAGCCAGACGTGGATCTAAAATGTTTTTATTAAGATTTTAAAGAGGAATTCAACGACAGAAAAATCACAATAAAGAGACAAATCAGGATTCCCACAGAAAGAGATTTCTAAGGGAACGTTTTGGGATAACAGTCCCCAGCCAATTTTATTTCTTTATGACATAAAAGGTGTCCTTAATTAAAATCCTATTGGAATACCGGGATGGGGCTCACTTAAATATTTGGGGACACCCTTAAAAGCACAATTTCACCTCTGAGGTGTGTCCCTGATGCCCAAATCTGCATAAATCGCTTGGGATCAGCCCCAGCCCTTTTGTTCCCAGCTGCCCACAAACGCTTTTGCCTTAGGACCCCTCTCAGGCTGCAGATAATTTATGCTGGGAGGGAAAATGGAGAGTAAATAATAATTAGGAACAAAGGGAGGCAGCTCAGCTTCCTGGCAGCTCGTTTGGAATATGAATCCTGGGAAAGAGGAAGGAGAATTGTGGATATCCCATCCCTGGAAGTGTCCAAGGCAGGTGGGAATGTCCCAAGATTTAAATCTAATTAACCTGCCTAAGGTTATATGAAAGCAGTTCTGCAGGATTCATTCAGCTGAAATGTCATTTATGGAAATACAAAGGCATACTAATGCATATATTTATATTTTAATATTTATTTTCATATTTTATATTTTATTTTTATGTATTTATATATTTATGTATTTATATATTTGTGTTTTATATATTTACATATAAACATATTTATATATTTATATTTCCATATTTTTAATATTTCTGTAATTTTTACATCTGAATTTCTATATTTTGGGGAATTTTTTTTTTGCATTTTTGTATTTTATTTTCTTTCAGACTCCATATATTAAGATTCACTTATTTCTGCTTAACAGCTTAACACTCTTTTTAAAAACATTAATCATTTGTATCTATATAAAATTCACACAATGTGATGCCAAGTGAAGATGAACCTGAAGGTTTATCCATTAGTGCTCCATGCACGTTCCATCCCCATTTTCCAGCCCCTTATTCTGCAGAACTTTTTGGGATTTTTTGGAGTTTTTTTTACTCCATGCCCGTTCCATCCCCATTTTCCAGCCCCTTATTCTGCAGAACTTTTTGGGATTTTTTGGAGTTTTTTTTACTCCATGCCTGTTCCATCCCCATTTTCCAGCCCCTTATGCTGCAAAACTTTTTGCCACTCCCGGGGATTTCTGCTCTCTCTGCATTTTTGGGCCCTCTATTATAAAACCTCCTCGGCCCTTCCCTCATAACCGGATTTTCCGTCGCCTTTGGCAGATTTTAATTCCAGTTATTATCTGGGTTTAGCGAGGAGAGCTCAGGAGGCAAATGAATTGTCAGAGGTCACCCCGGGAGCACCCGAGCTCCCATTTATCCCATTCCCGGAGATTTGAATTCCTTGGAGGCTCCTTGAGGCCTTGGCCGCGGTTCTGTGGGATCCGTGGGGGGAAGGAGAAGCTCCCACAGCCAGGGATGAGAGGCTTGAGTTGGGAAATGAAGCAATGGAAGCTCCAAGATGTGGCAGGGATGAAGGGAGGGGCTGGCAGAGCTTTTGGACGTGTCCTGAAATGGCTTCTCCAGCTCGGGCCTGGAAAATCTCTGCCAGCAAACGCAGCCCTTGCGTTTTATTTTAATAAATTATTCTGTTTTAAAAGTGTCCTGTGTAGTCACGTTGTCCCAATGTGCTGTTTTGTGGATTTGTGGAGTGGTTTGGGTGGGAAGGAACTTAAAAAATAATTTAATTCCCTGGGACATCTCCCAGGGGCCTAGGCCATGGCCAAGCAGGCCTCGGTCACTTTCTAAGGATGGGGGATCCACAATTCCCTGGAAACTTTCCCCCAGAACAAATTTTTTCCTAATTTTTCCTTCTGAAAGAACAGCAAACTTTGATTTCTTTCAATTTTCCCCTCATCACCAAGGCCAAAAAAAAAATCTCCACACCGAGTTTTCCAAAGCTGCTTCAGGCCTTCAAGGCCCAATCCCTAATTAAAACCCTGGGCTTGGTTTATGTCTTTCGAAACCTAAAGCTGCCACTTAAGAAATCTGCAATTACTGGGGCCTGCAAATTACTCACGATGGGGTAATGATCCCCCAGTCAGAAAATAATTCCTTTTTAATGAAAATCCTGCCTCAAAAATCATCCCTTAGGAAACGCTTGGCTCCCAAGGAATAATAATCATGTCAGTGTGGATTTATCTGCTTTTTAACAGATATATTAATAATAAATAATAATGATATTAAAAACAGGAGGGGTGAAGCAGTGGGAATTTTTTTTTCGATTAATTGAAATATTAACGAAGACTTTTGTCCTAATTAATTACAGGTTAATTTTTCAGTTCTGCATTCTCTCCCCGTGGGTCACGCTGGCCCCGTTTGCATTTTCTGACCATCCCCACTCTGCTCATGTTCCCTCCTCAGGGATGTTTTCTATCCCAGAATTCCAGAATAATTCTCTTTTTTGGACTGTGAGGCTCAGAATTAAACTGAAAAATCAATTTTTTTCCCTCAAATCCTTCCCCTGACAAGCCTCAAATTTTTATTTAATCTGAATCAAAGGCGTTTATTTGTTATTCCTTTATCAATATGAAAAATTCAGCTCTTTCTCTAAATCCAAAAGTAGCCATGAATGATTTCTGCATTTTGATTTAACAATTATTCCCTGCTTGTGTAATTCCTGAGAAATCAGTGTTGTCCAATCTCCAGGTTTTCTCTGCAACAAATTCCAGCATTTCCCTGTTCTGAGAAATCTGGCAGAAGCAAAAAATCAGTTTTCAACTCAAAATCAAACCAGAGAAAATATTCATAATTATTAATATTATATTTATAATAACACTTATGATGGTTGTCATTTAGTGTATTGCTAATGTAGTATTATTTATAGAATTAATATTTATATTTTTTTATTTTTAGAACATTGTATTAATATTCATAATTATAAATATAAAATAGATTTTAAGTTCATTTCTACTTATATGTGTTATATTTATATATTGGTATATTTATATATGCATAGGTTTACATGTTTATATTTTTATTTATATTTTTATTTATACATATATTTATATTTATATTTATATTTATTTTTATTTTTATTTTTATTTTTATTTTTATTTTTATTTTTATTTTTATG